GGCTGGCATATTTCCCTCAGACTTGCTGTCTTGAAAAGTAATGCTTTGTTTTCTGAGATCAGAATTCAGATTCCTTCCATTCCCTTTTTGCCCAGTGCAAAATGGGTTTTTCTTCTCCTGCTTTTCCCATTCTTTTATTGCTCTAAAGTATGTGCTAATACAACTGATTCCCTTGCTCTAATGCTGAAATTATTTGCCTTAAGTATGACTTTTTGTTTGTTTGTTTGTTTTTGTTTTAAACTATACAACTTGTTCATTGGGTTCAAGTACAATATGTGGCTTTCTGAAATTTCTTTCCTGTTTCTGCCTGCTGTCTGCCAGTGTGTTAGAGCATGGTTCAGTTTGTGAGGCTTCCAGACAGCTTTTCACACCCTACGGCTGTCCAGAAAACGAGAAATTAATTTTTTTTTCATAAACTTCATAATACTTTTAGAAGATGGGTGTTGTGGTTTAATCCCAGCTGGCGACTAAGCACCACGCAGCCACTCACTCCCTCACTCCCCAGCACTGGGATGAAGGAGAGAACTGGAGGCGTAAAAGTGAGAAAATATATGGGTTGAGATAAGAATAGTTTAATGATGGAAATAAAATATAAAAATCATACATAACAATTGTAATGAAAGGAAAATAACAAAAAGAGAGAAAAACAAAGAGAGAGAAATATACCCCAAGAAGTACAAGTGATGCAAATGAAAAAGGTTGTTCACCACTGACAAACCGATGCCCAGCCAGTCCCTGAGCGGCAGGTCCCCATCAACCTCCCCCAGAGTTTTATTGTTGAGAATGACACCATGTGGTATAGAATATCCCTGTGGCCACTTTAAGTCAGCTGTTCTGGTTGTGACCTCTCCCAGGTCCTTGTGCACCCCCAGCCTCTTTCTAGTGGGGTGGGGTGAGAAGCAGAAAAGGCCTTGACTCTGTAAGTGCTGTCCAGCAATAATTAAAACATCCCTGAGTTATCAACACAGTTTCGAGCACAAAGCCAAAGCACAACCCCATACGAGCTGCTATGAAAAAAATGAAGTTTATCCCAGCCAAAACCATCACAGTGGGTAAAGAAGGAATGAAATAGGAATTATTGATACCTGTTTAAGATGGCCCAGACAGGAAATAACCTGCCTAGAAATGAACAAAGTCTGCAACTACTTCACAAAGAAATAAAAGATCTGATATTTTAAGACACACCACATGCTTATCTTCTGTTAATGGTGAGAATATTTTCCATCTCACCGCCTCTCAGATCTGGACCTGCACTTTGAAGTATTTTGAGTGGTCATATGCAATATGTGATGGAGAATACAATTTCAAAACTATTTAGTGACTATACTGGCTATTTATAACATTGGAAACCTTATTATCACAACAATTTGTGATCAATTGTAACATTTATCATATTCTAACTCACTTGATTAGTTTTTTAGCATTAGAGTTCTAATGAGTTTCAAAAGCAAAATCTCAAATTTTCAGATAGGAATCAAATTCCTATAAAACTCCATAAGGAAGTGAAGCCTGGTACTGTAGAAAAAGCATAAAATAAATTGATGAATGAATTAAAAATTATTTTTCTGCATTCACAAATGTGTAATTGAATTACTTTCTGTGGTAGTATGTATGTCATATTTTTAGGAAAAAAATACTATTTAGAAAATTTCTTTCTATCAAGAGAAAAGTAAGTTTGAATGTGGCTTTAATGTACAAGCTTATATTACTAACATTCCAGTATACAGCAAAGCTGCAAACAAAGAGGGTTCAGGTAGGGCATCCGTTCTTCCTATAACTCCCTAAACAATCCCTGGGATTGATGTTTCAGAAAGTGGATGGAAAACAACTCACTACTCACTGTTTATTTCCCAGTTCCAACATAGGAAAGGTGAAAACCTGGTTCTTTCTATGTAGGCTGTTTCTTAGAATGGTTGACAATGGTACTCGAGTTGGCAAATTCTCACTCTGCTTCCGCAGTGCAGCTCTGAGACTGCTCCTGCTAGCTACCTTGTAGTTTGTTGCAGTTTCTTTCAATGACATCCTGCTATGTCTGCACAAATGCCAAGTTTGGGACTTTGATTGCTATAGAAACACTAAAGATGCCCTTTCAAAAAGTCTCATGAGGTGAGGGAGCACCTCACCTCTGCCATCTTTTATGTGCTCTCTTCCTCCATCCGAAATGCCCAGGGCATGTATTCCTTCATTGAAACAGTTGTGCCATTGCCCAACTTAGTCTGTGATACACCAGAGTCAGACAGGGACCACAATAAGGGGTTGGGGGAGTGATGAGGTGTTGGGGTAGAAGAGAGCGACTAGCAGAAATACCAAGCATGGCGGAAAATCTATGACCCCTGAAAAGACACTTTCATGCCTGAATGAACACTTATGCATCAAAAGGACATTCATATACTGAACATGACAATCACTGGACTGACTGTTTTCCCCTGTTTCACCCTCGTTACTCCCCAGTTCATTGTTATATGGTTGTGAAGTTCTCTGTACCCCAGTTTGTTATTTGAAAATTTGTGTCCTCCATATTGTCTTCTTCTCCCCTCACAGTTTTCCCTCCAAAACCTATTGTTCTTCCCTGTTTTCCCACTCCTCTGCCTGTGATTGGTTACTGTTTGGTGCAGTGCAGAGGTAGCTCCTATTGGCCCATTCTCCCAGTGACACCCAGACTCCGCCCATCTCTACCCTGTTGCCCTATCCCAAGAGTCCCTGAGTTGTCAATCCTTTGCTCCTCCCCTATCCTGAGTCCAGCCCCTGTTCCAACCCTATATAAGTCCCTGCTTGTTCTAATAAAGTTGGCATTGCTTCCCTCACCTCAACTGTGTCCCGAACCTGATTGCAGTGCCGCGTCCCCATTCCCCTTTTCCCTGCGGGCCATGGCAAGTGGCGCCCAACGTGGGGCCACAGTTGAGGTCTCCTGTATCAGGAGAACTCCTGTGCTACCAATTGGGACCAGGCAACTCCAGGAGGGGAGATCGTTCCGCCAGCCCTCTCTGACTGAACGGAAGGCTGTGGGCTCCGAGAAGTCGCACAGGTCTCGCACCGGAGAAGGTGAGCAGTCGGAGACATTCCAGCACCCTACCCCACCCCCACACCCACACCCTAGTAACAAAAATCAAGGGAAGGAGTATCATCTAGAGAGTATGTGAAGATCCAAGTAACATCATGGGACTCACACTTTCTACTTCCCAAAAGTATGTGTACCACCGCCTAAAAGATTTCATCATTGAGCACGGTCACCCATTAGATAAAAAGTCGGCAAAAGCTCTCGCCAGGTGGCTTGACCGCCATGGACACAAAGTTAACGATGACACCACACTTGAAAAATGGCAAGCCCTAGGATACCATCTCTGGCGAGAGAACGATAAGGGTGACCGGCTCACAAAGGAGGCGTTAATAACGTGGAGGCTTGTTCTGATGGTGCTACAGCACCAAATGATGAACAAAAATGTCAGCCTCCCCAGAATGGACGCTGAAGGCTCCAGTAAAGACACCGAGCACACCGGATCAGACACAGAACATGCAGACAAGAACACCAGTCAGCAGAACACTCAAAATGGAGGGAGGGAGACCACAGACTCAGACACTCAAAATAGCAGGAGGGTGCGAAGTCCGCTGTGTCGAAGGCAAAATGGCGTCAAGGAGGAGAGGCCCCAGGAACGCATGAAAGGAAGGAGGGAGGGGGAACCACGGGAGAGACCAGCACGGGAGAAAAGGAGGCGTGTAGCTCCACCCTCGAGGTTGCCTCCATTCCCACCCACGTACACACAAAGCCCTTCCTCCGACACGCCCTCCAGCACGCCCACCTCCGTCAGTCCCGTCTCCTGCCCCGACGTGTCACCCTCCTGGAAGGGGCGGGAAATAGTGGGTGGGGCAAGGGCAAAGGCCAGGCCATATTTCCGCCAAGATGGCCGTGCCCATAGGCCACTAGACACCAAGGCCTACCCCCCCTGCCGCCATCCAATGTCAGACTGCGCCTGGGCGCTGTGCTCCCCTGAAAGGTCAGCTACAGCGCCAGACATCTGGAAGGCCTTCAGGGAGGAGGCGGCGAGCGCAAAGGGCACAGAGTTTTTATGAGCATTTCCCATGTATTATGACGAGGGGAAGGCCCCCTAATGGAGGCCTATCTCATACCCTATGTTAAAAGACATAAAAAAGGCTATTGTGGAATATGGGTTGGGGGCTCTCTTCACCATTGGCTTGTTGGAGTCCTTTTTTCTGGTGTACACCCTTATTCCCTTTGACAGCAGGGCCGTGATTGGGGGGTTGTTTACAATGGTGCAAGTCTCGGTCTTTGAGGTCGAGTGGAAGAAAAAGATTGTGTCCTTTGTTAATGATAAAATGGAGAGAAGAGGAATCCCCCCTAGGCAAGCAATAGACATGCTTTATGGGGAAGACAATTATTCCAGCAGAGGGGATCAAGCCAGACTTGACCCTAAATTATTAGAAATAACAAAAGAATTGGCGTTAGAGGCCGTGAAGAAGGTGGCTGATGCGTACGTGCAGACACCTTCCTTCACATTGATTAATCAGGGGCCTAAAGAACCATTTGTTGATTTTATAACCCGGCTCAAGGAAGCTATCAGTAGGCAAGTTCCTCAGAAAGAGTGCTAAGAAATTCTCTTTAGCAAATTGGTCATCGAAAAGGCCAATGAGGACTGCCAAAAGAATTTAAAGTTATTGAAAAATCCCACTCTGCTGGAAATGATAGATGCCTGTAAGAATATTGGTTCTAATTCCCATAAGGCACGTCTATTGGCTGCTGCTTTTACAGGGCCTCAGCATTGTTTTGAATGGGGGGAAAAAGGGCATTATAAAAAGCATTGCCCTAAATTGTCATCATCCACACCTGATCTGCCCAAAACCCTATGCCACAGGTGTGGAAAGGGGCGTTATTGGACATCCAGCTGTCACTCAATTACTAACATCAATGGTGAACCCCTTTCCCCTAAAAGATTGCCAAGGTTGCAAAAACGAGTTACTTTCTCCTCATTACCAGATTTAAGGTCATGTGTATGTGGGCCATCGGGAAACGGGGAGCAGAGCGCTCGGGGGAGCACTACGACACAAATAACCCCCCATCTGCACTCCATCCTGCGCCCGACACTGCACCCAGCTACCCCGTAGCCCGGCAGCCGCTACCAGATCCGGTTTCTATAGAACGACAACGCACACCTCTCCCCGGATCATTCTTACCGTTGTGCACCCCTCAACTCACCTGAGCTCATACGAGCAGTTGGCTAGGGTCCAACCATCAGACCCGGTTGACCCTGATAAAACTTACCTTATCACCTCACACTTTTCGGCAGTGGATAAGGGAATTATAGTGGTGCCCACACTCCTGACTGGTCTGACAAATTTGAATATCGCCATTTGTTTAATTGTCCATCTTCCCCCTGTGTCCATCTTCCCCCTGTGCAGCTGGAGGACCGCTTCCCTGTGGTGAAGATGGTCTCCATGGATGACCTGCTGTGTGTACTGTCTGAAGACGAGGAGCAGAGGAAGAGACAGCAGAGGGAGATCCTCTGGACAATGACAGTTAAATCCTCTCGCCCTCTTTTAACCTGTCTTGTTTACTTTTCACAGCCGAGACAACCACAGCAGGTCAAAGCGAAAGGCCTCCTTGACAGGGGGGCGGATATCACTATCATCGCCTCCAAAGACTGTTCGCACGGGTGGCCAGCTCAAACCGCCTACGTGCAAGTCAGCGGCGTGGGGGGAACTCAGTATCCGGTCAGGAGTCAGGTAGTACTTACTGTATATGGGCCAGAGGGCAGACCAGCATCTCTGCAACCATACATACTTAACATTCCAGTAACGTTATGGGGACGGCACTCGATGGAGCAGTGGGAGCTCAGTTTGAGAACCCTGTCTCCTGATGAAAATTTTTAGGAGGGGTCACTGAACATCTGCAGCTCCCCAAACTGAGCTGGAAGAGGGAAACTCCAGTTTGGGTAGATCAGTGGCCCCTTCCTCGAAAAAAGCTGCAAATTCTAAATGAATTAGTTAATCAGGAATTGGCTAAAGGGTACCTGGAGTCTTCCACCAGTCCCTGGAACACTCCAGTGTTTGTCATACAAAAATCCTCAGGATCCTGGAGATTTCTTCAGGACCTGCGAAAAGTAAATAAAGTCCTTGAACCAATGGGAGCCCTCCAGTAGGGAATGCCATCTCCACCCATGCTCCCTGCTGAATGGCCCCTAGTGGTCATTGATATAAAAGACTGTTTTTTTCATATATACCTTAATCCGGTTGATTCGGTTAAATTCGCTTTTTCAGTCCGAGCCATCAACACTTGTGAGCCTCACCGCAGTTTCCAGTGGCGAGTGCTTCCCCAGGGGATGAAAAATTCCCCAACACTCTGTCAAATGTTTGTGGCAGAAGTGTTGAGACCGATTAGGCAAAAATACCCGCAGTCAGTCATCTTCCATTATATGGATGATGTATTGATCTGCGCCAAATCACAATTGGCAATGGATAAAACTCTAAATTCAACAATTGCGGCTCTAAAAGAAAAGGGATTGGAGATATCCCCTGAAAAGGTTAAAAGGGAAGCACCCTGGAGGTATTTAGGACTCCAAATCACAGAGAGAACTATAAAGCCACAGACAGCAGTAATTGACAAACGAGTCCAAACGTTAAACGACCTCCAGAAATTACTGGGAGCAATTAATTGGATTAGGCCTGTACTGGGGATCACAACCGGTGATTTGCACCCGTTGTTTGAGCTGCTTAAGGGAGATGCTGATCTGTCCTCATCCCGAGCTTTAACACCAGAAGCAGAGAAATCCTTATCCATTGTCGAAAAGAAAACTTTGCAAAGACAATCATGCAGGAGGATGGAGGGACTGCCATCCTCCCTAGTAGTCATCCGGGAACAGAGACAGCCTTTGGCCCTCCTGGGCCAGTATACCCGTGACTGCAAGGACTTCTGTTTATGGGAGTGGATATTCCTCCCTCACCAATTCAGTAAGACAGTCACCACTATTGCTGAAATGATTGGCAAAATCGTTTTCAAAGGTCGCACTAGGTGTTTAGAACTTAGTGGTGAGGAACCAGATTTCATTTACCTCCCACTGACTTCCGAACATCTAGAACAACTGCTGCAAACCTCTATTGATTTTCAAGTTGCCATCAGGGGTTATCCGGGAGAAATTTGGCTCCACCTCCCGGCGTGCCCATTTATTCAGAGATTGATTCAGATTCCGTTAAAACTGAAAATCATCCAATCAAACCTACCAATAAAAAACGCGAAGACCATTTTCACCGATGGCTCAGGGAGAACCGGCAATGCGGTTGTAGTTTGGTATGAAAATAATGATTGGCAGCAAGATATTCATAAAGTACAGGGTTCTCCCCAGATAGCAGAGCTTTCTGCAGTTGTGTGCACCTTCCAAATTTTTAGTGGTGAACCAATTAATATAATTTCAGATTCGGCCTACGTGGTTGGTGCGGTCAAGAGAATTGAAGACTCGTACCTAAAAGATGTGTCGAATGAAAATTTGTTCAGGTTATTGACCAAATTGTTGTCTTTAAATCAGAGGAGAAAATTTGGATTTTTCATCGTCCACACCAGGTCACACACCACTCTACCAGTCCTGTGGCGGAGGGAAACCAGATTGCCGATCATCTGGCAGGTATGGTGGTCACCCCTAATTTATTCCAACAAGCGAAAATATCGCACGAGTTTTTTCACCAGAATGCGCGATCACTACAGAAACAATTCAGTTTAAAATTATCACAAGCCAAAGAGATTCTAAAGACGTGCCCTGATTGTCAAATTCTCATGCCAGTCATTCCTGAAGGGACTAATCCAAGAGGTTTATCGGCATTAGAGATTTGGTAATCAGATGTCACGCATGTGGCTGAATTCGGCAAGCTAAAATATGTTCACGTGTCTATTGACACATTTTCAAAGATGATCGTAGCCACCGCGCATTCTGGGGAAAAAAGTAGAGATGTCAAGAAGCATTTTCTGTCTGCATTCGCAAGGATGGGAGTCCCGAAGCAGATTAAAACAGATAACGGCCCCTCCTATGTGTCTGCAGACACGAAAAGGTTTTTTGAGCAGTGGGGGGTGCACCATACCAGTGGGATCCCTCATAATCCCACAGGGCAGGGTATAGTGGAGCGTGCCCATCAAAATATTAAAAATTTGCTCAAATAACAAAAAAGGGGGAGTATTGGCCTATCCCCCCAAGAAAAATTAGACAAAATTATGTATGTTTTAAATTTTTTGAATTTGATGGAGGAATCTGACACTCACATAAACAGAAGTCCAGCAGATCGTCATTTTAAGTCAGATTCCACATCAACACCACTCAGAGCCAAAGTAATGTACCGGGACCCACTAACGGAAGTATGGACAGGCCCTTTCCCCTTGGTCACCTGGGGGAAGGACTACGCTTGTATTGCAGGCCCTGAAGGACCGAAGTGGGTCCCAGCGCGCAGAATAAAAATCCACCAAAGATGAGAGAGGAAAAGACGACCATACATTCGCCCTACTTCATCCTCACTATAAGCATCATCGGACTCGTCCCTCTTGTCGCAACAACACCGCTGAGGGAGTGGATGAGTCAGCCCAACGAAAACTTGTGGGTAATGCTAGCTAAAGCCACAGGCACAGACACCTTGTGTCTGGTTTTGGCTAGCGCAAGCAGCCCTTTTAGGACATGCCTAGTAGGGATCCCAATCACACCAACCGAGTGGGATTCATTTGTATCCCAGACTTGGAGTAGAGGGTCCCTACCTCTAAACTCCCCCAATTTGGCACAGACGATTTCAGCTTTCACATTCACAGACGTTCCTTTTCAAGAAATCGATCTCTTATGTTCTCTTCCCTCTATAGCCTGTGTTATTTTCCATCGTTATACCAAAACGGTTTTATTTACACCCCACAACGTTACGGCATACAAAACTGTTTACCGAGGGACCACTTTGCTGTGGTGTAACGGCTCCATAGCTACCACCATCCCAACAGAGCATGTTCCTAGGAACATGCGGCTCCCAAGAGGGTATTTCCTATTGTGCGGGGATCGGGCATGGCCAGGTATTCACGCCTACCCGGAGGGAGGTCCTTGCACAGTAGGAAAACTAGCGCTGTTCAACCCGGCGAAATTCCAGTTGGCAAATCAATTCGTGTTCTCAAAAAATCAGGCTAAAAGGTCCCTCCAGGTAAAAAGGGGATGGTTCCCCAGCGTTCAAAGAGAACTAGAAGACTGGAGGCTTCCTCCGATAACCCCCAAAATTCGTCCCAAACCACAGCCTCCAAAATCTGCACCCGTTCCGGAACCAAAAGTTTTATCCCCACAGACCAATGTTTTAAAATCCCCGAACACTTTCCCGCCACGTGTGATTATTGGAAAGTCGCACCATTGGCCCACATCTCTGCCCTTCCCAGAGGACTGTGATTCCAATATTCACATCTGGTCGTGGGTAAAGAACTTCTGGCCGTCCTTCCCTATCCCCAGGATAGGAACGGCCCATGCTCTCTCCCTTCTCACGCACCTCGGTTGCTGGCTGACCAAGGAAGCGAACGCCACCACCAGAGCGATAGAGGGTCTGCTGGCGGATACCCAAAAATTAAAAGAGGTCAACCTCCAAAATAGAGCCACAATAGATTTCCTCCTCCTGGCACACGGTCATGGGTGCCAGGAGTTTGAGGGGATGTGTTGCATGAATTTCTCGGACCACGCCGAGTCAATACATGAAAGCATCAATCAGTTGAAGGGCCTGGTCCGAGAAATTCATCAATCAAAGAGTGAGGGGCTCAATGACCTCTTTGATTGGCTGAAATTACCAAATTTACCCAATTGGTCAAGGAAAGTTATTATCCTATGTGTGTTATCCCTTTTTGGTGTAGTTTCGTTATGTACCTTCTTACCTTGTCTCATTGTCTGTCTTCGGAGAATGCTGATTTCGACTGTAACTGCAAACCTCGCTTGTTCTAATAAAGTTGGCATTGCTTCCCTCACCCCAACTGTGTCCCGAACCTGATTGCAGTGCTGCGTCCCCACTCCCCTTTTCCCTGCAGGCTGTGGCAATGAGGGAAGTACCAAAGGAGAGCACACATTTCTCAAGGGAAGTCACCAGCTGTGGTTCCTCTCCCACTACTTCTCTGTTGAAGTGCGTGATGGAGCACCACTGTAACCAGACACTGCTCTTGGAGAATGACCTGGCACTCCCAGGTCTGCTGCTTGACTACAGAGAAAAGGTTACTGAGTGTGGAAATTTACAGAAGCAGCACAGATGTAAGTAAAACTCCATAAAATACCAAGTTTGGTTAGAGACATTTAGAAGATGTTGAATAACAAGCACAAAATGGTACAGATTACAGTTTTTATTGGTTTTGAATATGCTGTCACCTCAGTTAAGAACACTTATGTTGCTACAATAATGGCTGTGGAACAGACAGATGCAGGCATCAAGAAATGTACAGCATATTTTCATAAATCACTGCTTCCCACTATTTTTACAAATCCTTTGGCCATTTTTTCCTGTTTAAGAATTACACCTACTAAGTTTTTTCTACTGTTTCTTTTATTATCTTAGGATCTGTCTACTTGATTGTATTTCTATGATTAGTATTATAATTTTTGAAGATTTTTATTTATTTTATATAGATTAGATTCAACTCACAGTTTAAATTTTCAAGCCTTGCCTCTTTTGGACATTAAAAATACCTCTTTATTCCCCAAAGTTAAAGTTTCATGTAGCAATTCATAATAAATATTATTAAGTTAATATGGTGAATTGTAAGGTTGTAAGTAGCTGAGGAAAATTTTATAAAGTATTATGGCATGTTTAAATATAAAAGGATCTAGTAGGAAAAAAGTTTTCTTTTTTTTTAATTCATTACATATTTTAAAGTATGTTTTTACTAATGTTAGGTGCTTGGTGCTGCAATTCTGATTGTATTACTACTAGGCTACAAAAAAAAAGAAAAATGGACAAAATTCTCTTCTAATAGGGTAAAAGACTTAGGGTTACCTGTTCACACATTAGAGTTGTTTTTTGGGGTAGATTCAGATACTGCCTATATAAGCAGATGCAGGTTTTAGATATGTGTAGGTGTCCTAGTCTCAGCCAGGACAGGGTTAAATTTTTACAGTAGCCAGAAGGGGGGCATGGCTAAGGCCCAGATGTCAAAGGCTTTCTAATATCCCTTTTGTTAATATGGTTGCTGTTACTGTTTGCTTTCTTATCTCATTGCTGTTTCCAGTAAACTGTTCTTATCTGAGCCCATGAGTTTCATCTTTCGTGCCTCCAATTCACAGGAGAGGGAAGGCAAAGGGCAACGGGGGGTCGGGGAGTGGGGGGTCGGGGGTGTGGGGGAAAAGAGGAAGTAGCAGTGCGGTTTGGAGACTCAGGGGGAGAAATAAATTGGGAAGTACCATTCCTAAACCATGAGAGTAGCTAAAGAAAAAATTGTATTCAATTTATAATTAACATTTTTTTTAACATGCATCATGTTAGATTTGATCATACAAAGTGATTGCAAGCTAATCAAAATGCATTTTAAATTTCTAGAAAATATATTTGAAATCCAGTCCTAACTTTTACATTCTGAATAATATTAATTTAGTTTTACCAGTGGTTTCAATTTCACTTAAAGGCCCTGAAAAAAAAATTAAATATGATTAGTCATTCTGTTTGACTGGATCGAATAAAAAATTATGTTAGTTAGTAACTGAATACTGCCAAAAATTATGAAAAAATTTTGGATGGTTAATACTTATAAATTACTGATAATTTACCAATGATTCCTCTATTTGACTGCTTAATTGGCTTCATGAGATGTATTTTGCCTCACAAATGGAAGTGTTTGACTCAGAAATTATACACATTCTTACATATAAACTTTTCTTCTTGTTGAAAGCAACAAAGGATGAGTCTCCAAATGGAATTAATTTTACAATATATTGTACAGTGAGGGATCCCACTGAAGCTTTTAAATTACTGTCTTTCAGGTGACTCATTGAGTGAATTAGTATCAACTGAGTGGAAACAAAAGCTCCTGAGTCAAATATTTATAATGAGACTTTAACATGTAGTTAATATAATGTAGTTCATTTAACATGAACTACACAATGTTGAGCCCCTTGTGAGCTAGTTTTTCCTAGTCATATTTTTTACACAGAAGAAAATAGTAATTTTCTTTCTTTGAAAGGAAAGTTCAACAATCTTTTATCCTTGATTCCATTGAAAAATGGAATAACCTTTCTGAAAGAATTATAGAGGTAGTTTACATATTTTTACAAAGTAGCTTAAATAACTTGAAAATGATTTCTTGATGAAATTCAGTCACCTCAAAGTACCATTTAATTACAAATTGTAACTTCCATAAATTATTTCAAATGCACACAGTTTAGGACTGTTTATACTCCGCTTATGAATATTTTCTACATTACGGCATTATTTGTCTTGTCCACTTTCAATCTACATTCTATATATATGTATATATACAGAACCTTTATGTATCCTTATCCTTTGTGTAACAAAATTAAGACACCCTTTAAATCAAACCAAAATGACAAATGCATCCTAAATCTATTTCAGGAGTCTTTCCTGTTTTCTGGATTATGTCTCTTTCATGGTGATTTTTCAGTGCTCCATAAAATTTAATAGACTAGCAAATGGGCAGTCCCATCTGTTCCAGTTGTGATGAGTTCGTTAGTCTCTACCTGAAAATTTGAGTGTAGTTCTTAAACAGCTTTACTCTTGTCTGAAAATATATCAGGCTCATCTCTGTTAAAACTGTTTTCACTTTCTAACCAGTATTTCACCTTCTTAAAAAGAGTGTTATATCAAAATTGTTATTATGTTAAAAATAATCAAGGATATAAAAAGACAGGAAGAGCACCTGCACTAAACCAAAGTTACTAAATTCAGATAGTCTCCCATTCCCATGTATTTCAAACAGGCTTTGAACACCTCTAGTGAGATGAGCTCCTCAGACTTCTCCTTGATGGTAAATCTCCTGAGTAAAAAAATGCTGCTCTACAGATATAGTGATATAGTGTTTTTTCCTTGCAATTTGGAAAAAGTCAGCCATAACCAGAAAGGACACAGAGCTGTGAGTTTTAATTAGGGGATGACTTTGAGGGAAGAGGGATATTCTTTTGTGAAGTAGATGAATTACTTGGAGACACAAGAGAAAAGTTTCAAAAAACTTCTCAGAAAATTAATTCCGTTTAAAAATCCTTGGCCATTTATGAAAGGGAGATTCTGAATGTTTTTTAATTCAACTCAGTTAGTTTCAAAAGTAATATCACAAATAATCATTTTTCATTTCCTTAAGAGAGAAGAAAATGTACCTGTGAACTAGTAGTGCTTCCCTTGTGAATAATAGGTTAATAAATTATTGGTCACTTTTTGTACTTCTAATGAGAGCAGTCCTTCCCTCTCTGGTGAAGACATTTAAGCATATAAATATTCTTTTTAATAATTTCTCTTCTGCAGTACTGGCAGACA